CGGGCCACAGTTGCATAACACCAACACCAAAACTCAAGATCGTTGGCCGTACTACTCTGACCTCAGGCTTTCGGTTCTTGTGAGCAATGTGTTAATACTTACTGCTTGAACTTGTCATTCTGAGGTCCAAATCTGGGTGCCGTGGGTCCTCTCCTGAAAAACAAGTTTCAGTGAAGCCAAGGGTTACCAATTTATAATTGTTCTACTAAAACAACCTATTTTACTGTTTATTTTGTATACTCTGTGTTAGTATTACTGCTGTCATCATCGAGGTCAATTGCACTTTGTATATATATATCATTGATTTATTTATAATAACCGCAGTGACTGAATGGAATATAAAACTCACAGAAAGAAGTCTTCCTCCTCATCAGAGTCCTCTTCAAGTAGGTTCCTCTGTAAAGTGGAAAAGGTCAGATAAGAGTAAGTTCTGGATACTGAATGATTGTGATTTGAATGATCTCAGATTTGGTTCAGGAACAAGATCCAGTCCCAGCACCTCAGCAGCTGAAAGGCCTCACCAGAGTACATTCTTGGCACTAACAAATGATGGTGCTGATACAGAGAAATGAAATTGACCTCCAGGGGCAAGATAGCTGATAGATAGCTTTTTCTGGTCTGTCGTCAGAGAGCAGATATTCCCAGACAGTATGCTATTCTAGTGCACTTACATTATGATGACTTGTGCAAAAAGAAACGACTGTTGTTGCTCTGTTATTCTGCTTGCCAAACTCCGTCAAAACTCTTCCTCTTAAAACATGTCTTCATCTAGTTCTGGCAAGGAAAATCCGTCGGTTTGAATCCAAGCAAAATGCATCGGAACATATTCCAATAAAATATAGAAAGAGGTTTCTGCTATCCAAGAAGTTTTAAGAAAAACTCTACCTGGATCACAACCATGTCTTGATGGCTTCAATAGATGCAGGAAGCGCCCTGTGTAAAGGGCTATTCATAGAGAATTAGTTAAGCCAGCTGCATTCAATTCTCACAGGAGGAGAATTGGACTAGCAGAAAGTAAGGGTCTGTTTCTCATTGGATGGCACACAGGAGGTTCATTGCTACAGGAACAAATAGAGGCATACATGCTTCCTTACATTGTAGTGTTCCATGAGTTTAGAAGCAATAAGTAATTACATTTGAATAACAGTATCCAGAAGGTAAATGTCAGATGTTTCTGTCATGGTCATCACCTTATAATGACATCCTGCGACTACAAAAAGAAAAATCCATGGCTGTCCAGTAATGCTGACAGCTGCAAGAAATGCCAGAGCAATATAGATATTTTACTTTCTTGTAAATACAGTGTCATCTGCAAAACAGCTGACCATATGATTATAAAAAACCGTTATAAGTGAAGGCACTAACTCTCTCCTTCTGTTTAACATCTTTTTTTTCTTTCTTTCCACTGTCTAGGATGAGAGACATGAGGAGGCAGGGCTGGAAGTTATTAGCATGGATAATGAAAACCTCCCAGTAAGCCCTGTTTTTGATCCCAGTTCGCACAATAGCAAAAAGCATTGGACTTAGAAACAGAGGACTGAGTGAAGTACAAAATCAGTGGGAGGACAGGAAGGTGGAATTAGGTGGGGAAGCTCATTTAGATGAGAACCAGATATTTGGCTCGAAGAGTTGTTCACTTTACCTCCTTCAAAAAGGTCCAATGTCTTGTGTGCATTCCCTGTAGTTTTTTGACTACTTCTAACGGCAGAATCTGCATCTCAAATCAACACCTGTTTTTTACTTTATTGGACATTTCTAAAAAGGTCTATCAATGTCGAAACCTTGTACTCTAACTTTTTTCCCATTTTGTGTTATGATCGCTTCCTCCTGCTATATCTTACCCTCTCGCTGCGAATCGATCCGGTGACCTCGTCATCGTTGAGGTGTCGTTTAAACTTGGGGGGCATGTTGTCTTCAGGCTGCTCCTCCTGGTCTGGCTCCCTCTGTAGGATCGGAAGAGAAGAAGGTCAATACATGCACAGTCGTTGACGTTGCAAAGCATCAAGTGTACGAACAGAGTTAGTAACCTCTATCTAAACATGCTCGGTAATGAATCCATCAATGAAACTGGTCATGGTTGAGCAATCTGAGGAAACTTCTAGTACCAAAACTTTGTGGTAAACAGTCTGACATCATTATGAGTCACAGAGCGGATTACATTCATTTTATTTTTAGGAAAAAGAAGGTGGTTCATTCATTATGCCAGCTGTCTTTGAAATGATATTCCTCTCCTCTCATACGCATTTTGAGTAAGCAAAGAAATAAAGTTTAAAGTCTAGGAAATGTGGTCATTGCAATGTGCACCTTTGGGTGAAAGACTTTAAAAAACGGATTTGGAAAACATGCTGTTCTTCCAATGAAACCCCCTGGAGTCAGGGTTTGGGTGTTTCTCATTCCTAACACCGTTTGTAACACTGCAGCTAAACACAACAGGGCCTCATTAAAGTGCTTTGGCAACACTGAACTAAACAACATGTGCAGACCCTTCTATTACGACCGGTGGGGGGAAATCACAGCAGTCTTACACATACACACCAACTCTCTCAACACAACAACAGAAGTTGTACCATTGAATCCAGTTCAGTATGACACTGTGGCTTTCACAGCAGCGTCCTTTCTGGCACTGCAATTTGGAAAAAGGCCTCAGAAGCCAGGAGGAGAGGAACTTTCCAGTAAAGAGAAGTGAAGAGAAGCAGGAGACACGGCACGCTCTGAAGCAGTGACAGCGTGAAGAGACACAGAAAGAGAAAGAAGAGAAGCCAACTCTAACATGTTAGGGTTGCAGAAGGAAACCATTGTCAAGAGAGGAGGTTTAAAGTGCAATCCACAAAAAACTTAATTAAATGATGTCAAAGCTGTGGTTTATAAAATAGACAACTGACAGTGTTATGTCAAGATTGGACCAAACTGATTGGAATACAACTGAGAAAATGACCTCATGATGACCACGTGATGAAGATTATAGATTATCGTTGATCAAATCAATTTATCATGGATTGCAATTTCTCTCCTTTCAGAAGAAAAGCGTTAAAGCTATTTATACTACTAATGTATTCCTGTTAAAGTCTAATCATGACTCCTTAAAAAGGATCTATTACTGAAAATGAAACCGACATCTCAGAGTCCTATGTTCCCGTGCTCAATATCCTCTTAATATGACAAATTAAGGAGACTTTTCAAATATACTATGTTCTCATTTCCTGGGTCATTATGTTAAAAATCACCCACCTACAGTTATCACCAACTGATGTCATACTACTTAATACACCCTTACATTTGCGGGCAAGTCTGTTTACTTGACTTTTGACATTTCACAACGACTGTACAGTTTTCCCCTTCAAACTGCATTTGAAACGCTCATCTCCCTTCTTTTTTGTTGCAATTTGAGCTCTAAGGAAGCTCCAACCAATCTCCACCAAAGTACATTCATGTCAAAAGACCAGAGGTAGAAGAAGTACTCATATGTTGTACTTGAGTAAAAGAAGAAAAAAAAAAAAAGTCCTGCATTGCAAATGTTAAATAAGTAAAAGTACAAAAGTATTAGCAAAACATACATAAAGTACTGAAAAGTACTCATTATAAAGATTTGCTAATTTTCTTATAATACATATGATATGTTTTGATTATAATAAATGATGGATTCATTCATGTGTTTATCAAAGCTGGTAAAGGTGCAGCTAGTTTTAATCACTTTGTATGCTGCAGGGTAGCTTATGAATGTTCCTCAAAGTGTGACTAAAGTCTTATTGAAGTGTTGATTAAATCACATCATTAATCCAAATCCGTAAAGTAACTAAAGGAGGAGTAAAAGTACACTTTAAACCTCTGAATTATAGTAGAGTAGAAGTACAAAGTCACATTAAATGAAAATACTCCAATACAAGGTATTCACAATTGTACTTAAGTAGTGTACTTGCGTAAATGTACTTAGCTATGTAACACCACTGCTGGGAACATAAGACCCTGAGAACATGATGAGATGATCCCAATTAACGTTAGATAACAACCTCTTTCTGAGACGTTAGCTGGTGAAACGTTTGTTAGCATACATGTAAATACGTTAGAATATCGTTGTGTACCACACTCAAACAATTTAAATGCTACACCACAATAATTCAAATGAAAGGGGGACACTGTTAATGTCAACACTATTAGCTAATCTAGCAAGAGAGGCCGCTTGGTACATTGACAAATGTAGCTACCGAGCTAAGCTAAGCTACTAAGGATGCTAACGGGGCTAGCTACCTGCTGTTTTCCACAAGATCCGAAGCCCGATGCTGAAAAACACAAACACGAGAAGACTCAGGTGTTAATCCAGGGTATTCAGGGTGTAGGTTGGCTCCTTCACGGTGCTGATACTTTCATTTAAAATGCTGTCCGTGACGATGAGATAGGATAATCATTAAGAATGCTAGCGGTCTGCTGTCTCTGCTCCGTCAGAATCAGCTGACAAGGAAGCACCAACAGCTGGAAGAGGAGAGGGACGATGCAGATGTTTGACAGCCCGGAGACATATTGATATTTTGTTTTTTTCTACACAGCAAATATATTTTTAAAGGTTTTTATTAGGGTTCTTCAATTATTACACATATTACATAATCATAGAATGCAATAGTTGTATGAGTGGGCTGCTCATATCTTATAGGCAACATTTTATCACTTTATCCCAGTTTCCCCCATCATGTTGGCTTTGTTTTCATTCATTCTTTATGACAGAATGTTCCTTTAGCACTGTTGCATTAAAGCATGTATGTATCAGTATGCATCTTTTTAGGCCTACTTCTGCTCTAATGCATGCCAGAAGGAATTATTATTCTTTGTTAACAATGAAAATAAAACAAGTGAAGACTCAGCAAATAAGATAATAAATGCACAAAATAATTATAAAAATAATACGTATTTTAGATTTATTTTACTTTAATAACAAGATGTTATTGAACATTTCACTACTGCCTGTTTTCGGGTGTTTGTCCGCCTCACCTGTAGGTGGCAGCTGTGCGCGTGACATCTACCAGGCGTGCCAACTATTCACCAGAAGAAGAATATAAACTTTCCCCGGAAAGGAGTTCTGGCTTAGTTGGTAAGGTATATCTTTATCATACTTGATTTATAGGTTTATTATAACGTTTTCCAATGTTATTTATTTAAGCATACTGAGTGTCTGTCACTGCAGGTAGTTAAAAGCAGGCTCTGTTTGTTGCATGTCTTCACATAGAGATGCAGAGCAGAGCCGATCAGTCCCATCCTCTGTTCGGAGGAGCGCTGTCAGCCGTCCTGCCTCACAGCGCCAAAGACACCAGCGAGCTGAGGGAGATCCCAGACAACCAGGAGGTGTTTGTGCATGAACACACCGACCAGAGCCTGATCGTGGAGCTGGTGGAGTATCAGAGTCAGGTGGAAAACGAAGACGCTGCAAGGTATCACTTTGAAGACATCGCAGGGAGTAACAAAGCTTTAGAGCCAGATGCTTTTGAGGTGACCAGTGTTGTGCCCCTTTCCAAATCTGAGCTGTCCCTGTCGGACTGCAGCTCTGCCTGGATGCTGACTGGCACTCAGTGTGTGTCCAAATTCAACGAAGAAGCGAGGAATTCAGTGACCCTTCACCTGGGTCTCTTCCGTCTGCCACAGTTCTCCACAGATGTCCTGATAACCTTCAATGACCCGCAGAGAATCAGCCCTGATAGCAGCAGTGCAGCTTCAGCAGAGACACACAGACAGCCATGGACGGTGCAGGACTTCCAGCGCCTGTTGCAAACTCTGACTCTGCACAACCCAGGGCTGTTTGGATAGAACTTCTGCTACTTCATCAAACCCCATGAGTTAAATATTTAGTCTCAAGCTCATTTAAACCCCTGGGTTTAGCTGGGGCCCCACAGGAATCAGGCCTGCAGCATACTTTGGGTCCCAACCTGAAAGTTTGGGAAGCAATTCCTTCTAGCTGTGGTCCGGTTGCTGCATGGCACAACTCCTGTTTTCCCCTTGGTGGTGACTTTGTTGTTACATATAAAAATGAATTGAAAACCAAACATCTCATGATATGCAGATCAGAAGTCATAATAAATGTTTTTGATAGAAAAACCTTGGACCTTCTCTTTATTTCTGGAACACCTGATTAGAAAATATGTGTAGGTTGAAGATGCTTTAAAATAGGTCTGTATTTTGGAAATCTAAAGTAATTCACTCATCAGAACAATCTGGTCATATATTTTTGTAAGGCATGTCTTTTTTATTTGAAGCTATTATGCACATAAGAGAAATGTGAGATTCGAGACATAACGTCATAATGCCGTAGACACATTCTCCTCCTACTCACTCAAGCATTTCCTCCATCCTCATCATGCTTTTTGTCCTTTATTTTATTCCAAAATACTGCCACCTTCTTTGCATACACTATATTTATGCCCCGATACAAACATCTACCAGTATCCGTAACGCACAAACCTCATACAGACCACCAAATATTCACTCGCTAACAGCCTACCAATGCTGCTTTGCTCTAACCTTCCCATTTTTTTTTTACAGTATGGCAATACAAAAAACAGTGATGGCAAAGGTAAAAAAAGGGGTTAAAGGTCAATTGAGGTTCCACATATGAACTCCCTCTGGAGCCATTAAAATGCAGTTAATACTCATAAAGCTTTCAGTAGGACCTGATTGGTCATAAACCGTGAAGATTTAGCAACTCCCAGCAGGAATATGTATTAGGACAACTTTTTCCATCATTCACTGCAGTGGCCTCATGGTGGAATAATTCATTAGCCTGAACCGTGACAAGAACTTTGGAAATACTTCATTCACTCAACGGTGAGTTTGGAGAAACACAAAATGTATGGAGTGAAAATTGACCCTCATTAATTTTTGCTTTGAAGTCAAACCAAGTTAAAACCTTTCCACAGTTATATGTGCTGTTATTTAAAGAAAAACTGTTTTGACTTGAGTCTGCTGTAAAATAAAACTCATCACAGCGAAGGAATTCAGGTAAGCCTTGCATAACAAATAAGAGGAAGTACAGTCTGTCTCTCCAAAGCCACATCAAACCTTTTTTTTATAACGGATTAAGATCTCATAAAGTCTGGTCTCCTCTCACTGATCCCAGTGTAGAACATTCCTTCATCGACCAAAACAACATTTATAGTAACAGCAAAGACTACCTTGGATAAACATGCTGTTTTTGGTTGTCTTTTAAAGTCTGAAAACATCCTGTCTTAAAGAACAGAAGCTTTTAGAACATGCTTCGGATGTTCAGGTCATGACAGGAGACGATCCGATACATCAGACTTTTTTTCCAGGCCCTGAAAAGGAAAACAGAACATTACAGAGCTCATATAGGGCAACTATTGAGCAGTAGTCTCCAAAAAGTTGCCTCGTGATGCAGAGTGGTAAACTGTTTAACAAAAGAATGATTGTCTAGGTTATTTGATCATTTAATACAGCCATTCCTTCAGTTATTTAATGGCCCTCCAACAGTTTACACAACTGGTCTGGATGTCCAAAATAAAAGCTGAGGGCAAAAGCTAACTTGGGCAGCTGCATGCATCTTTTAGGATTGCTTGGTTGAACTCTTAAAACTGCAATTCGGTTAGTTTGATATGTTAAAGATGTAGTGTAATTGCATGGTACCACGGCAGACCACTGTTTGAATAACTTAAATAAATTGTCCTTATGGGCAAGTTTTAATATTGAATTAATTATCATCATGTTCTTATACAACAGACAGTGGAACAAAACACAACAAATGTAGAAAACACAAAGCGCACATATTGTGGTTAGAAATGTAATAACAATGCTCTGGGTTCCCTTTAAAGTAAAAATACATTTTCAAAAGTCGACAAAAGTGTTGTAAAAAAGAGACAAGGCTTTTGGAAGAATCACTGTAAGCGGCTGCTAGAATAAAGTGAAATCAAACATTATTTATTTTTGCATCAATTCCAACTCCTCAACTGACATCCTTAGCATTAAACATTTCCACCATACATACTCTACAACTGTACAGGCAGTAGCTGTTGGGGCCCCAGTCAATAATACAACACTGACAGTAACTGTGTTGACTTTAAGTCACTGAGGAAAAAGCTTCATAGCAATGTCTTTGACCTCCAGTGAGCTGAAGTCTGGCACACATCTTCGCTGTCTTGTTGAAAACTTGGCTGACAGGTGAACTGATGTTTCCCTGACAAATACAGCTTTCCGGTTCATTCTCACAACAACTTGCCATTTCCAGGCACGTCCCCAAACAAAACTTGAGGTCCAAGCAAACAGATTGTTCCAGTCACATGACAAACAGCACCTTTTCTTCAAGAAGTGTCACTTTTACTTGTTGAGTAGCATCACCCATAACCAGGTGCAAAGGTTTTTCTTGTACACAATTGAAAGGTTTCATAGGCAACAGATAAATTAGTGGCAAACTCAAAACTGCCATTAGATCTGTGTCGGGGAAGGTTGTTAAAAAAATATTTTAAAACACAGATAATAATTAACAAGTATTTTTTGAATGTGTGACATTTTCAGTACATCTGGGAGGCATCAATCACAAGTGTATGCATAATTCCTGCTCAGAGACTCAAAGCTCCAGGGTCATTTATTACTCAAACCTCCCCGTTATCACTGTTGCGTTTGTACTATACGCCGCCCCCTCCTCCTTCTGAGACCCTCTTCCACAACCATCTCTTTGGAATCAAGCCTGAACATCCTTCCCTCTTCAACGCCAGCCATTCTCTGCAACAGAGCGATCTGCTTCTCTCATCAAATTCCCATTACTCCTTTTTATAATTTATGCTTTCTTCAATTATGTCTACCTTTGGAAGCATAATCCCAAGAGGCTCATTGTGGAACAAGGAAAAAAGTCTTGCAACAAATTCTGCAAGACATTCTTTTTATACGATAAATTATTCAACATCTAACCTTACAACAGCTGACACATGGTACTCTTTAACATAATAACAATGAGGGAATTTCTTTAAAAAATACTTTATTAAAAATGAGGCAAAACTGATATTATGCAACACATTTTCTACCACAGATTCTATACGCGTGATAATAATCTTCGTTATCTGACAACTGTTTCTGACCCAACAATAACATGTCTAAATATTAACAAGTATCCTCCACAATGTAAAATCGAATGACTTGAGGTTTGTTACATTTTCTTCTCCATATTCTGAACCTGTAGATGGTTTTAAATTGCGTTTTAATCCTGCGGCTTCTTCTTCTTGCTCTCGGGTGAGGTATTGTTGGTTTGGGAGAAGTGCTCGGACATGGCAGCAAGCGCCCGGTAGCGATGAGAGATAGTGTTCTTCACCTCTTTGGGAAGTTCAGCATAGCTGCAAAAGAGAGGGAAGTAGTTACAGTCACTAAGGATAGTTCTTATTGTTGGCATGAGAGTGACAAATAATCTCTTATGCACAGCATAAAGTGAAAGTGGTTCTCACAACCACTGGCCTTTGACTCCCCCTTGTGGTTTAAAGGGGATATTTCAAGCCGTCTTTGCTTACGTTTTGTCATATCCCTCTGGCTGAAAACAGGGATCCCATCCAAAGTCTCGAGGCCCTCTGGGTTCAACAATGTGTCCCTTGAAATAACAAGATAAAAAAAGAGTGAATATTAACTAATAATGATAAAAACACATATAAGAGAACATTGAGGCCGTTTTAGAGAGCCTTTTACCTCCGTTATCCCTCTGAAGAGCTGAACTGGTTCATCTTTCCCAGCAGAGAAAGCAAAAGTACAGAGAGCCCATGCTGATTTATCTTCAAATCCAGCTAGGAGTTTGTACAAGCCTACAACAAAAACAATTACAAGATTGGAGATAATAATAATAATAATAAAGCTTTACAAAATGACACATCACAAGTTAAAAACAAACACGAAATTACCCTCAGATTATTTTACAACTTTAAAAAAGGTACATGCAGCAACATTAAACATTTGATCAGGTTAATAGACACAAAGATGTGATAATACAAATTAAATTAAATAGAATAAATAATGGTGGAGCTGCTGTGTTCATCTTTTTTACCCAGCTTTAAATAATTGTTAAATAACGGTTTAAATCAACTAAAATACTTGCCTTCTGGCTTGAGTTTATCCAGGAACCATTTTCTACAACAACAAAAAAACAAGTTTGGGTTTAATTATTACTATTCATTACCACTACTAAAGATACAATGGTTATACAGATATACAAGTTAGTATACGAACATGTAAGGACCAGGCATGCCTCCCAAAGCTTTGAAACATAGACAGGTGTCCTCCACTATGACAGGCCCTTCAACCTGAGGGTGGAAAACAAACAATGAATCACTTTCAATCATAGAAATGTTCATACAAAATATTCTCTTGCATCTTGTATGTAGTTACTGTACCTGCCGTGCAGCCTCCTTACACTTATGTATGGAAATCTCATCTGGCTCTCCTTGGTATTCAGGCACTGGATAAAGAAACAGTAAGGTGAGCATTGACTATAGTAAAATATGTGTTCTACCAGTCAGTGTGTCTCTTCTTTAGATACTTACAGTCAATCTTTTTGGACACCAGTTTGTAAGGAAACCTATCTCCAAGTATCTGAATGACCTGATGGACAAAAAGAGTAAAGAGTGAATCTAGCAGGACTGATTTGTTGTCAAATGAAAACAGATACTTTGGTACTTAATTACAACTCATGTTCACTATCTATATTTAGCTGACACACTATGGAGCAGCATGAAAAAGGAAATATGTATAAATGTATCCTGCCTGAAAAGGTTAAGACAGTACAGGAAAACCGTGAGCATACAACCTTTATGTGGAGTAAATTGTTTACACTTACCTCTTCGAGCTTTTTTGCATTTCCAGTCACGAAAACCACAGACCTTCCAGCAGGCACAGCCATGTTGAAACAAAACCCGGAGGACTAACAATTCCGGACCGAATGCTTCCGGCTAAGTAACAGCCAATCAACATAGGTCTGGGAGCCACAGCCAATCGCTTGACACGGTGTAACTCCGCCTCCTGATAATTCCTCCAATCAGCGAGCGGTACTGCCGTCAACCTTGTCCGGCTTGAAAAGTCAGAATTGCCATGTGGAAAAGTGTCTGTCAAGAAGC